ACAGGTATATTTTCAGGGAGATGAATGGCAATTGCTCTTTTTGTATGATGAAATTTTTTTTTTTTTTTTTTTTTTCTCCGGTACCGGGAACCGAACTCACGACCTTGCGCTTGCCAGGCAGGCACTTTGCCGCTGAGCTAAATCCCCAGCCCCTTGTATGATGAAATTTTAAAAATTTAAACATTTGACTATTTCTGGATGACCCTTCATAGGTACATTGGGTGGTAGGTGTTAAAGAAACAATTTTAAGATACTTGCTGTTAAAATGATTTGGCCGTGATTTGGTTTTTGATTGACTATGACTTACAGTCACACAGGGAAGGTGATAGGGAAAATGAGAAGACCCCTGATGCCTAGTCAACAGGAATGGCGAAAGCTGTACGTAGTGGTGGCCATATGAAACACCCAGTGAATGACAGACGTCTGCCTTAAACTCCAGAATTCGCTTTGTGATAGAGAAAAAATATATTAAAACTAAATACAGGTTTATCATATTCTTGGAGTGCTCCCCAACCTTATACACAGTGGGTGAAATCTTAAGACTCCAAAATAAGACTTTCTGGCTCAGATTTCAGCCATGCCTATTAACTAGCCATGTGACTTTGGATGAGTTACTTAACCACTCTGAGCGTTAGTTTTCTGTGCTCACTGTTGGGATACTGTTAGTGCCTAAATCAAGAATCAGTATGAGTTTTAAGAGAGTGAAAAGTGTAAAGAACAAGCGAAGCTCTTCGACGACGTTTTGGCACATAGAAAAGTTTACACAAACACTAGCTGCTATGCTACTGCTGTGACTGTCATTTCTCCATAGTATACCTGGGCCTGATAGTGTCCCTCTCTTTTAGTGAAAGTGTGGAATTATTTTGGCACAGATAGCAGCTTCCTTGCAATTCAGGATAGACAGTCCTGATTATAACGTTTTTGAGATTTTCAGGAGCGTATGCAGTTAAATTCTTCGGCAAGAGGAATCCATGGGTGTTTCTATCATACTAATCCAGGTGACGGCACGTGTTGAAAGAGTTCCAGATGTGAAGTGTGGGCCCTGCAGCCAACAAACAGTGGAGCAGAAACTCGTCAACACCTCCGGGTTCACATTCTACTGAGCTAACCCTTTGCACAGCTGGGACAGTGTCGGGAGCACTCCCTAGGGGTCACCCAGCCCACTGCTGACAAGTGCAGGGTTATCACGCACGTTTGACGTCACCTCCGCTTCTGCTCACTCGGCCACTCCCACCGTGGGACGCCTGCTGGTCCAGAACAGGCACCCGGCGGAGTCTGCAGATGCTGCCCCCCTCACATGCGTTCTCTCTGAATGTCGCACTGCTCCATCATTGACCTCACTGCTAGAGAACTTAGCTAACTGGCTGGATCTCATTAGGACAAACAGGTCTCCTCAAAATCCGATGAGTGAAAGCAGGAAGTGTAGATTTGTAACTTGAAGGGAAATTTCCGTGTATATGTTTCTTACATCTACTCGTGCTCTAAATCGCTAGCATTGTAGGTAAGTTAGTTCAGCTGAGGTACGACAAATAGGGTGAAACTCCTCACAGCATCGTTCATGTCAAGTGGCCAGAGACATTTACTACTACATCGCCGAGGGAGAAACCGTGATACCTGGGGTTTCAGCAGTCAGGATAGAGACGCAGGTGGATCCCCCAGCCCCGGAAAACTGCAGCAGGGTTAGGATTGGGGACTCACATCCTGAGACTGTCTGGGAGCCTGAGGCAACACAACTGAGCGGTAAGTGCTTGTGAAAAACGCACGGGCAGACACACTTCTGCTTTAACTTGCAGAGTAAAAACTGTACTTCCCCTTCTGCTATAAAAGCAGCTAGGAAACCTGAAAACAGAAATCCAGGTTCCACTGTAATCAAAATGAAAAGTCACCACGTGTGGGGGAGCGTGTCAAGAAAGCAGGAGAGCCCTGGGGTCTGAGGGGATAGCCTTCTGGCCGTCCACAGAGAAGAAAGGCACGTTTGAAGCCACGTACCGGAATCGAACCAGTGCCAACCGGCAAGGGACACTATAGTGTTGCAGTGACTATCATCACGGTCCTCAAGATATAGTCTTAGATTTCTTTTAAAAAAAAAAAAAGCCGGGCGTGGTGGCACAAGCCTGTTATTCCAGCACTCAGGAGGCTGAGACAGGAGGATCGTTATGAGTTCGAGACCAGCCTGGGCTGCATAGTGAGCTCAAGACCATCCTGAACTGCATAGCGAGACCCTGTCTCAAAAAGACAAAAAAAAAAAAACAACCCAACAAAAACAAGCAAACAAACCCAATGTGTGGTGCACGAGCATGTGTATGCTACCCTTGCCATGTGTGTACGTGTGTGCCCAGGCCAGGAGTCGGCAAGCTGCAGCCCAGCCAGCACCTGTCTTGTTACTCCGGATTTACTGGCACACGGTTGTACTCATTCTTTTAAAGATGGTCTGCAGCTGCTCTTCGGCTACAGCAGCGGAAGCAAGCAGCTGCAGAGAGACCACATGGTCCTCAAAACCTAACCGCTCTGGCCTTTTCGGAAAATATCTGCCAGCCCCTGACACAGGCCTCCCCTGGAAAAGTACACAAAAGCCTGGCGAACCTGCTCGCCTCTGCGGAGCGGGCCTGAGGCGGCAGAGGCGGGTGGAGCTTTACTTCCCCTGGTCTCTGCTCTGGTCACCCCGAGTGTTGTACTGTGCTTACTACTGCAGAGAGAGAGGGGAATGAAGGGAAGAAGGCATCGCCAGGGTTCTGGACTGGTGCTGTCTCTGCGGGCGTCCGATCACGCTCCCTTCCTGCTCTCCTTAGAGGACACAAGCACGGGGCAGGCTCCACTTCCAGGAGGAGCGGTGACTGCTGCCCCAGGGCCCAGCGACCAAAAGCAGAGGACGGAGCGGCCCCTCGGACACACCCAGAGAGAAAAGTGCCCCCTGGAAAGCGCTCCTTACATGACAGTGATGAGGAACTTTGACTACAAGATGAGGGAGCTTTCAAACGAAATTTGAAAAAATATTTAAGTATTTTTTCATATTCTATGATATCCTGAGACACCAGTCTTAGAAAAACCTCTAAAATAAAGTTTTATTTAAACTAATCCTCTCTTCTTCCACTCAGGCTCAGTTCTAAAAATCTAAAATCAAGATTTTTCTAAACACTTCAACTAAAGATTTTTTTTTAAAAATGTACTGATTCTAAAAATAATTTTTAAAAAGGAATCTAGGTCCATTTGTAGTTGAGGTAGGCATTTTTTAAGTTAAAAAAAATGAAAGAGACCTATCTTCACCCTTAAGAAAAATGGTCTAAATCCAAATAATTTGCTTTCACTCATTGAATCACACCAGTACATCACCCTCGGTGGTTCCAATATTTAACGTTTAAGTCACACACTCAAGATCAGTAAGGTAATCTTCCAGAGACCAGTAGTATATGCTCTGCTGCAGGTGAGCAGACCCCAATTTACCTTTTGAATATTTAATTGGTGTACATTTCCATTTAGAGGAACTGTCCCCAAATCCTTCCCTGAAGTCGTTGTGTAAGATAATTTAATACTGTGCCCAAGGGTCCAGTTCTATCTCACTGCAGTGACAACCCCGCTTCTTCCAAAGGAACCACCCAGGAGCAGGCACTAACAACAGATGATCTGAGACTCACCCTTACCCTTCGGGCGAAGGCGAAGTGTCGCGTGTACTGCTCTAGGGACAGCCATGGCCAACCCAGAGCTGCAGAGGTGAAGCCAGAGTCCCTTCTTGCAAGCTCCCACACTGTCACTGGCAGATTACGCAAGGCGAAACTGCCCCTGGAGGTGCAGCTCCTGAGTGCTGGGTCTCCGCCCCCTCTGTCCATCAGCTGAGCTCCTTGCTTTGTGAACAACCTACACAGCTGTACGTGACAGCTCTGTAAACTCCTTAATGTGAATGTCTAACAGCAGCACCACATCCAGATTCTCCTTCCTGCCCTGAGTTTTTTTTTAAAGAGGAGAAAAAACTAATAAAAACAATACAGAATTTCAAAACAAGATGATAGGAGATTAACAATGGTTATTATATTGGATATTGTTATCTTCAAAGTAGATTACCAGATACAGGCATGCAAAACTGATCAAACAATATAAGCACTAACGGTTCCTTTCAATGAACTAATAAAAATTAGTAGTACAATTACCTTAGCTAGCTTGTGTGTATATACATATTTTTTCCCTTCCTTCTTATCTCCTTTCACTCATCCCAGTTGTTCTTTTCTTTTGAGCAGTTTCTGTCCCTTTCACAATATCTATTGTACTTTTTGGATCTTATTTACTCTTTCAGTTTCTTACACTAGGGAGACAATACGATGTTTACACGTGAGTCTGGTTTATTTCACTGAGGAGTATGGGTTCTATAAAAGCCTTGAATTTATCTTTCTTTATAGCTAAGTAGTACTCCGTTATATAAAAATACTACATCTTTTTTGTCCATTCCTCAGTTGATGAGCATCTGGGTTGTCTCCAGGATTTAGCTATGACAAATTGTGCTGCTATAAACAAGGGTACACATAATGCCGTGGTATGATGTTTTCAGTTTTTCTGAAAAAATACTCAGAAGGGGAATAGCTGGGTCGAATGGGACGTCTAATCCCAGTTTTGTGAGGAATGTGAATGTCTAACAACAGTGCCACATCCAGATTCTCATTCCTGCTCTGGGATTTCTTTTTAAAGAGAAGAAAAAACTAATAATACAGAATTTTAAAACGAGATGATAGGAGATTAACAATGGTTATTATATTGGATATTATTACCTTCAAAGTAGTTGCTCAGATTACCAGATAGAGGCACGCTGTTCCCACAGGGATTGGGACAGTCTACACTCCCACCCACAGTGGCTGCCCTGGGACTTTTACATGCATTTCCATTTACCAATGGGAAGACAGACTGAGTCTCATTATGACCCTAGTGTCATGAATCAGCCCAAGTATGCAAGTGGTTTAAGAAATGTAATCATCCTCTCCCACACCCCATGGGGACGGCAGTTGGTTGGGACTCACTGTGTTAATTCCAGCCACATGACCCAGGACGGGGACCAGACGCCAGGCGGAGTCATGTTGTAGATGGAGTCCAGGGCTTCTGGGCTGCTGCAGTCTTCCTGGGGCTCGTGTTCTCCGACTTCCAAGGCTCTGATTACCACCGAAGAGGACGAGCTCTTCAGCAGGGCAACTGCCTCACTGCGGCTGACCCCGGTGAGCTCGACTCCATTCACATTCAACAAAATGTCACCTGATGGCCAGAGACGCAAAGCCGTCCTTAGTGGGTGTGAACAAGAACTGCTGCTTAAAGTGCAAAGGGGCGGGGGCCAGGGGGACGTGGGGGTGTGGAGAGGGCAAGGTGCACACCGCTAGCCCTGGCCCTGGCACGACGCTGGCTTCTCGGGTAGCAGGTGGCAAACAGTGACGGTATTCCTGGGTGCACCGAAGTCTTGTTTGGGGTTTTCTAAAGCATACCTACTAGTGTTGGGTTCCTACCTAAAAAATAAGGGTGGGGCTGGGGATTTAGCTCAGCGGCACAGTGCCTGCCTGGCAAGCACAATGTTGTGAGTTCAATTCCCCATACTGGAGAAAAACCAAAAAAAAAAAAAAAAAAAAGGGTGGCAAAAGAGCCTTATTCACTGCTTGAAAGCTACTCCTTGTTTCCTATTTTTTAGCACAAAAGGGGACGACTTGGCTAAATCACTTGCACAGGACCTGGCAGGTACGAAGCACCCAGTGAATACAGATTAAAGACTGAAGAGGAAACCACCCATGCAGGCGTCTCGCAAGAGTCCGGAGTAATTAAGAGAAACGAGCCTGGGCCCGTGCTCTCGGGGTGCTGCAGAGGAGCTGTTCATTGCACTTCTATTCTCCGCACGGCTACCACTGGTCGTGCACATAGGGGGCAAGGCCGTTTCCACACATCACGAGCCGCGGTCCTCCAGCTCAGGCTCGCTTGTTAAGCCACCTGTGGCTGCACCCCATGATTCTCTGCCCAGGTGCTTGTGGAAGAGCCAGAGAAATGAACATGCAGACACCCCTACCCTCACTTTCTATCCTCTTGTCTTCCCCTCCTGTGTTTCTGCCTCCTTTGCATATCATCGTTTTCACACAGGATAACAACAGCAGGAGGAAAAGGACAGGAGGAAAAGGAATAGCTGGGACCCCTTGCTGACTCAAAAAAGAGACACCCTTGGGTTGGCTGGCTCTGTCCTCTGCGCCCCTCCCCCCGCCGGTTCAGCAGGCTAGGAAAGTGTACTTTAGAATATAAATATTTATATATGTCTAAATTAGAATATGTTTGCTATATGTAATAATTACAGTCACCTTGGGAGATTGGTACATATACATATTTTATCTCTTGAACCATAATCTTTAAGAGACGTGATTGTTCACCCCTCTAGGCTACCCCCTCACATATACTGGTACTGTTAAGGATACATATTTCTAGAGGTAAACTGGACACCACTTTTCTTCAATTAAGATAGCCCAGAAAATGTGTGATGAGATGGGTGAAACACTTTTCACCAACGGCAAAGTACCTAGTGTGGTATTTTACTTACTATCTACTGAGTCAAAATCTATCAAATTTTTTTTTCCTATCCAACCCACAAAATGGAATAGCTCATGCATTACTTTTATCACTGGGTCAATCCAGCAAATAACCAGTTACAATGCGTGGAACTAAATTATGCCGTAGATGCAGCTTGCTTCTGTAACAGCTCCCTGTTCATTCCTCGGGACGTCCGAGGTTCTTGCTTCACCAGCAGGCAAGCCGGCTTCCATCACCCCACGTGAACCAGCAGAGGTAAAACCCGGTCTATCAGCTGTGCTCAGACTAATCACGGTCAGTGGCAAACAGACGTCCTGGCTAGATCGCTCTCATATTCTTCTGTTAATTCTGGAAACAGTTACCTAACAAACAACCTGCTAATTTCTCCCAGTCCTCTGTCATTACAGTGTCTTAGCTCTATTTCTTTTTACCTGTTTTTATTCTTCCATCTCTGCTTATGATTCCTCCCGGCTCAATGCTGATGACATAGATAGGCAAGTCCCAGTCCCTGTGAGCGGCTCCCCCTGCAACGGTCATGCCAAGAGATTCGCTGGGGTCTTTTCGGACACTTACCACCTTCTCATGACAGGCAGCTGCAGGACAGCAGGGCTGAAGACACACAAAAAACACAGCACATGAATTCACAGCTGGGTGTTTTACGTTCAAAAATGGCCAATGTTGCCTCAATCGCATCCTAGAGTGGTCCTTGATATCACAGAGAAGCGTACACAGAGAGCACCATCGTTTTGTATTCCTTCCCAAAGCAGTTACATTCTCCCTAATTCTGAGGCCAACTTGGAAAAAGTTTGTATTTCACAAGGGAACAGTAGAAGCAAAGAGAGTAACAGGTTGGAGGCTGTGGGAAAGATCTGGAGCACGCAAAGTGAGCTGTGTCCAGAATTTCTCAGGTGAGCCGTCTGTTCTTGATGGTCCTGAGTGAACACTGCAGTAACCTCTTCTCCTTCATGAATATCAGGAATGTTTCCAACGGTAAAAAAGGGCCCCGACTTTACAGTGCAGAATGACCTTTTCACGCTTCCTCGGTGCTTGCCAAACAGACTTACCTTTGCTAAACAAAGAGATGCTTACCTGAGGATCGAGGGGTTCAGTACTTCCTCTCCCTCAGAGTAACCCCTCACCTAAACATGGCGCCTACTGCTTCTTCACTTTTCAACAGGATAAGAGCTTTTCTACCCCACAAGTCCTGACTTGCCTTCCTCTTTCAATCCTTTAAATTCTTATTTGCAAAATGCCACATTGTTTCCTGAATCAAACAAAACTTCGGTCAAAACGTAAAAAACTAAACAGCCATATATGTTATTTGACTTTAAATATGCTACTTTTAAAAAATAAGGGCATTTTGGAACTCAGCTAGAACCACACGGCCTGGGGGTGTAATTTAGCGCTAGAGCACTTGCTTAGCATGTGTGAGGCTCTGGGCTTTATCCCCAGAAACCACCCCCCCACATACACTAATAAAATAAAATAAAACAAAATAATCAGATGGTGGCAGATAGAAGCACACACGAAAAGAATGACAGCTTCCCACAGGCCAGTGTGTGTTTCCAGGAATTCCCACACGGGGTTGCAGCAAAGATACGATCAGATCCTCCTGGCCTTCCTGTGACTCACCATAGGTATGTGGAAGGAATTAAAGCCAGTGTGGTGGAGGCCTCATCTCAAAAAATTTAATGAACTAAAATATAACATTCTGCTTCATTCTACTAAGATTAATTAGATTACAAACTTTAAACTAATACACAGTTTTGCATTAACAGAGACTGTCAGTTTAAACATATTAATGGTATTTATTAACAAGAAGACATCAGGGAGTCCGTATCTATAAAGCATTTAGCAGGATGTACTTGGTCTGTGTAGGTCGCTTGTTACAAATAAACAAGGAATTTACGGACTCATGGGGCATAGCGGGCCGGAGAACGAGCAGCAGGGTGTGATACTGCAGGCTCTGTAGTTAACAGGATATAAAGTGGTGATGTTCTAAAATTAAAATTTTGAGAGTGGTTTCTGCACACATTTCTGGAAAACTCAACTTGTGACCTAATGTGAAAGGAAAAGGGACTTTCCCTTGTCTCCGCTGCAAGAAAAATGGGCTACCTGTAAGATGCTTTCTAATTTTAGTATATGTGCTGCCGAAGCAAGCACATGTAAGACGCTTTCAGTTATAAGTGCTGTAAAGAAATCGGATACCAGGGGAATGGCTGACAGAAGCTCGTTGTCTTCGTGCTAAGATACCAAGCCACAGCTACTAGACTCTGAATCTGACTAAACAAGGTTTGTGTTGTGTGGACGCCCACGCAAATGGAGAGGTTAGGCACTGCCTTTCACAGAGCTGCACACAGCAGGTCAGATTAGACTGAGTTACTTCTTTTGAAGAGAGGCTGCAGACAGGTAGCCTAAAGGCCTAAGGGTTGGATTCTACTCACCATGTGCTCTGCTTAACCCACAGTGTGTAAAATGTTTTCTGGATTTGAATCCCTTAGAATACAGCATGTGCTCTCTGACTTTCCCAGCCCCAACTCCCCAGTGGCCCGTGAGTTTCAAGGGCTCACGTAATGTTCCTAGGCCCTTCGGTAAATAAACATATTAAAAATAGGACGGGAAACATTATTTTAATTTCCAGGTAAACTGGGAAGCTAAAAAATCAGAGACTAAGCAAACCTCTTGTTTCATTTTAAAGCGAATAGAAAACCGTCCTTGAACAGAACGATTCTTAGAAAAACATAACATGTCTTTGGCTTAGACTAGAAATTAGGTCCCTATGTAAGATCTGAATGCTCAGGTTCCAGAACTCTCCCTGTACCTTCCTAAATGGGTGAGAGACACCTGTTATCTTACTAAGTCTTTGCCCCTTTAGTTTTTAAAGTCAGATAATGTTTCTGTAAGTGGTAGAAGTTCAGAGACGACATTTACTATGTTCAAGCACCCGTCCTTCCCAAGGAACTGCTCCCTGCAGGAGACTCACCTTGGGAGCGACGCCGCCTGGGCCTGGGGACAGGCTGCTGCTGGGCTCCCCTTCCTGCCAGGAGGCCGGGCTCTGCGCTCGAACCTGGCGGGACACGATGAGGTGAACACGCCGTTCACTGGCCTGGGTGAGAAGACACAGGCATCAGCCACTCTCAGAGCTCCCGGGCACAGCACCCAGTCCAGGGCCTTACCAGGGGGTGACTGACACTGTTTGGAGTATTTTTTATGCCAGTACTGATCTTGTAATTTGGCAAAAGCATGAGAGATATTTCCTTTAACCCTAAGCCAGACAGTCAGTATTGCTCTAAGGGAAGCCAAGGGAAAGTTTGGCTCATACAAATCTCGAAGAGACACCATCAGGCGTTGCGAAGAATTTTTAATGCAGGACTTCATCGTATACAGGCCCCATCTGAAGGCTTTCATGGTTGGAACAAGGTACCCCCTGTATAACAGTAACCCAGAGCAAAGGTCTATGGCAAAGGTAAAAGAGAGAGAAGGGGAAGTCCTATGACTGACAACTTAGCCTTTCTTTTTCTTGGCACTGGGACTCCAACTCAGGATCTTGTGCTTGCCGGGAGGGCAGGTGCTCATGCCACTGAGCTATGTCCCCGACCCTCTGTGTCTGACAACCTGAAACACTGATACTGGAAAGGGTGAGCTCGTTAGAAACACAGGGACGACTTATTGGGTTCTAATGTAGCCCTTTTACAGTTCGTTGTCCTGTGGGATCCCCACGGTTGTCCAACAGAGGCCAGCCTAGCTCTTCATGAGTTTGTATTCTTCTGTTAATAAACATCTGTTTGCAAGGGGCATCACTATGGTGGTCGTAAATTAGAAAAATGTTTTAAGACAATTGCTAACGTACAAGAAGGGTGTTTATTGTGAATATCACGGTGACTGGCTGGCTAGGTGAGCTAATTCATTGCATAGGAGTTTAGAAAATCCTGCCAAACAGGCCCCAGAAGGAAGCCTGAGTCCTTCTCCCACTGCCCATCACACATAGCTCGGCCATCGCCCGGCATCGCCCCTCCTGGCTCCTGTGCTCTTTCTTGCTAATGTTTGTTTTTTCTTAGTACCAGGAATCAAACTCAGGACCTTGCGCTTGCCAGGCAGGCGCTTATGCCTCTGAGCTATATCCCTGGGCCTGTGCTCTTTCTTGCTAGTCTGTCTCTGTGTATCGCCCGGTGTCTCCCATCACATGTAAAGCCTGTGTCAGAACAGAACAAAAATAACAAGCCCAGGAAACCGTCATGGAGCACACTGAGGTGCAGAATTACAGTAGGAGCCAACTACATTCAATTCTTGGAAAAGACTTTTACAATAATTATTTTTCCTTTGGACTACAAACCTCCCTTATCTTAATAAGCCTGTCTTCGGGGACTCTGAGGCAAAAATCACTAAAAGATTAGCAGCAGCTAGCACTCAGGTCAGAAACGTCAGTCACTGAGCCTGAATTTGCTTTTCTCTTCGGGGAAACTGCTGTTTTGAAGGCTCTGAACTGCGTGTTTGTCTCAGAGCCTGCACGTCGTATCCCGCTCCCCTTGGCCGAGGAGCAGAGTGCATGATCTAAGCACCTCATAAGAGCTGAGAACATTTAAGACTTACATACAGGTCAGCTTGCCAGGCAAAGTCCAAATGGCCCAGGAGCAGCTTGCAAGAGCTATTTAATTCACATTTTCAAGCACAAATTTCTTATTGGCTTGCTCAATGTTGGCTCTGTTACGAAGCTGTTGGCAGGACCAATACTCCAATAAATAACTCTGGTATCAATTTACTTGGAAATAAATTCTCTGCAAGCTGGATCTGTGGCTCATACCAGCCACCTTGTAAATTGCTTACAGGGAGAGACTATTTGATGTCCTTTCTTTCATAGTGTTTGAAGACATAAGGTGGAAAACGGGCTAATGTGTTTGTCCTGGCTCTCACTCCAGGAGCAGCTGGACGCAGGGCAGTGAAATAGCCGCTGGCACCAGAGGCCTTCTTTCCACTGCTGTGTATGTGGTGGGGTGTGCGGATGGAGCCAGGGGAGGCGCAGGGAGAAGGAAGGAGAAAATGCTTTTTATTTCGTGCCCACACCATATGGCCGGGAGGATGGGTACAGCAGACCTGGCATTTTAATAACGAAAAGTGGCTGAGGGCCAGCGATAACTATGGCAGAGCAGAGGCTGGCAGAGCACCTGCACATTAAGGGACTGCTTCTCACCTAGCCAAGGGCTTCACCATTCGCTTATGAAGGAGGACTGGACTTCAACCCCACGCGGCTCTGCTTCCTTCCTTCGAGGCTTAGTGCACTGCATCTGACTTAGGTATCACGAAGGTGCTCGTTGTGCTAACTTCATGAACTTTCATGTTAAGAGCCACTACCTTCCCTCCAGAGTGCTGTAGGGCACTGCCCCGCCCAGGGACCTGAAACGGGGCAGACCCCGCGTAGACTGGCGGCCCCAGATTTTCTCGCTCAGACTAGGTCCATCCATGGCACTTCCCGATGGCACCTTCTAGGTCCAGAAGCCCCACACTGAGTGGGTGGCCCTTGAATGCAGTCAGGTGAGAGCTGCTGTGGGATTTATAACACTAGCTGCCTAAAGAGCCGGCCTCTACCTGTCGGTCCATCCATTAAGTTATCAGAGGCTTTAATGATCATCTGTAAAAAAAACAGGTTCATGCTACATCCCCGATGGGGTCTTCTCAAAAATCCCAGAATCAGGCGGTCTGGCTTTAACTGATTCTCAGTACAGACCTGTGCGGATGACCTTTCTATGCTGTCTGTTTGCCCATTTTAGCTTTGCTTCCAGCAACTGTGCAAGCATCGTTCTCAGTTCGCCTATCTTGTGCTCCAAAAGCCCCAGGGAACTCTGGAGCGCTGGCTTCATTAAATTAGAAAGTCACAGATACACAAGAGATGTCAGACATCATCTCATCCCACATTTTCCCCACAGCCCAGGGTTCAGTTCTTCAGCACCACTGCCGTGATGTCCCCCAGCTCGCGCATCAGCGCCCAGCGACAGGAGCTCACATGTCCCACGGCGGCACTCGCCGATGTTAGACAGCGCTAATTAGCAAGCTTGTCTGTAGGCTGAATTAAACTCACTCTTCTCTTCCTTGCTTGCTGGTTGCAGTTAGGAGCTGTGGGGCAACCCCAAATCCATCGTCAAAGACGACTCTCCTTGTCCTCCCTCAGTTCTTCTCCTTTCCAGGTCAGCTGCTCCTACTGTCTGAGCTATATTGTGCTTCTGAGTCCTCTTAAAAACTTTCACCTTAGCCTGCCTCCAGTAAAATTGGGTGCGCATGCGGGGGTGGAACGGGGCCTCGACGGTGAGCCCTGATCTGCCCGGCAAAGCAGGGTCTTTCTGCTGGTGAGCCAGCTGCACAGGGAACTTCACGATGGAATTCTCATTGCTGGGCAGCACAAGGAACAGGATTGTCTTTATGTTTTATGGGACCACGAACTCCACGGAGGTCTGTCTCCATCACTACCACTTAACTGCAAGATGACAGTTTATCAGACCGCACCTCAGAGTGTGTTACAGCAGCACAAGCCACTGCTGGAACTGTCGGATGGTACACACACCTTACACGGTAACACAGACAGCTGGAGGTATCAGGTCCAAATGACAAGCCAGAAGAATACCGACGTAAGCCAAGTGCGGTGGCACACACCTGTAACCCTCGAACTTTGGGCAGCTGAGGCAGGAGGAATCCTTTTTGCTTTTTGGTATCAGGAATCGAATTCAGGACCTTGTGCTTGCCAGGCAGGGGTTGTGCCAGTGAGCTATCTCCCCGACCCCAGGAATCCTAAATTTGAGTCCTGCCTCGACAATTTAATGAGAATTTGTCTCAAGAAATGAAAAGGGTTAGGGGTGAAACTCAGTGTGAAGCCCCTTGGTTCAATCCCAAGCACAACTCAGATCATTCTACTAATTTTTTAGAAATACCACGTCATTGGTTACCCTGTCATTTCATGTACATACTCACGGCACCAGAGCCCCTGTCCTGTTTTCCAGGGAGCAGAAGAATGTCTATGGGAGAAAATCTTCCTCCTACTGAGCAAAAACTTGGGGGTTTCAGAACACAACTCCAGAATAAGCTAATGACACAAGGTAAGGTGATATTCCCTAGGTGAGTGTGGGAAAGGAAACCCGGCAGGTAAAGATCTGTTTACCATGGAAACGTCAGGACCTAGCACAGTGCATGGTACATTAAAAAGGAATTCACGATCGTCTTCTGCTGGACAGGTGAGCTCCTTTTCTGGCCAAGGAAAAGGTATTAGGCAACCTTGAGGAAAAGCGATCAAAAAACGCTAGGAAGTGACCAAGGTACAAAGGAGAATTAGGGCAGCAGTTTGCTTCCGTTTCCCTGCTAGACTATAGCTCCATGTCACCGTCACACTCCCAGGAGCGCACGTCTCTGAGGTATAAAGAAATTAATTACAGACCGGGGTCATACAGATGTCACTGACAAAGCCCAAATAAGCATTTAGTCCCCTTATCCTTGAATCGCTGACTGTCAAGTAAACAAAATGAACACACTCCTCTGACTCAAACACCATTTATCTTACGGCATCCAGAGGTTACTTTAAGGACTAAATCTGTTCCATAATTTAAAAAAACGCATGTGGGGCTATGAGCAGCAGAGAGAGGATAGCTAAGTTTCAGGGTCCCTAACATTTACGACATAGAGTGATGCATAAAAGTTGCTCTTAAAAAAATTCGAAGTTGAAAAGCTATACAGTTGGCCAAGTCACACTTTCTCAATAGCACCTGATATTTGGAATCCTATATAAAAATCATTTGAACTTTGAGAATTCAGCTCAAGGATTTACTGCCATACCATGGTAAGATAATTTATTTAAGTAAGGATCAGATTCCGTATTAGCGGTGGTGATCTGTAAAAACACACAGACCTATCAGGTCTTATGTCACTGACAGTTCTGTCTCCAGGGGGCTTGAATGTTTAAATCACCCGAGAAGTTCTGCCCGTTTTCCAAGTACACAGCAAAACTGTGAGCTGGAAGCGTACTTGGGACAAACTCAGGAAACACGAGCAGAGCATGGCCTGTTTTCTGGCTCTGCCCACAGCCCTATGACACTCTTTTCAAAAGTTTCAAGGTCCCAGTTGTCAGTT